GCCATGGGCCCCCGGCTCGTGGGGGAGTTCAGGGACGTGGAATTCACCTGGTTGGAGAAATCTGCAAGAGAAGGAGAAGAGGAAAAGGGTTGAGCGACTCATGTGGGACACAGACCTGAGCCACAGCTCCCTGTTCCTCCCCCAAAATTCCCAATGTACTCCATCTTTCCAAATCACCTTCTGGAGTATCCATACAGGCATGAAGGCACTCATGTGGGACACAGCCCTGAGCCACAACCCACTGTTCCTCCCCCAAAGTTTCCAGTGTACTCCATCTTTCCAAACCACCTTCTGGAGTATCCATGAAGGCACCTATGTGGGAGACAGTCCTGAGCTGCAGCCCACTGTTCCTCCTCCAAAATTCTCAGTCCAGCTCCATCTTTCCAAACCAGGCACCCATGTGGGACACAGCCCTGAGCCACAGCTTCGTGTTCTTCCCCCCAAATTCCCACTGCAGCTCCATCTTTCCAAACCACCTTCTTCTGGAGTATGAAGGTGGTTAGGAAAGATGAAATTCTTCTGCAGGCATGAAGGCACACATGTAGGACACAGCCCTGAGCCACAATCCACTCTTCCTCCCCCAGAATTCCCAGTGTACTCCATCTTTCCAAACCACCTTCTTCTGGAGTAAGCAGAATTAGAGGATTAAGAGCATTTCCACCTGGTTAAGAACATTTCCACCTCAAGCCAGGCATCAGTGCCCTCCTCCACCTCCCTGGCACAGCTCTAAGCTCTGCCAGGTGTTGGATTTGCAGGGAATGCCCCAGATGAAGGCAGGATTGATGCATCTGACTCCATGTTCTCAGAAGGCTAATTTATTTCTTTATAATATTACATTAAAGAATACTATACTATGCTATACTAAAGAATACAAAAAATATACTTACTAAATACTAAAAAGCTAATAATAAAATAAATAATAACAAAAAAAAATAATAACAAAAACTCTTGATTCTTTCCAGAGTCTCAACACAGCTTGGCCCTGATTGGCCAAAGAGTCAAAACAACTCTACCAGAATCCAATGAAACAATTACTTGTGAGTAAACAATCTCCAAGCATATTTTACATCAGCAAAACAACAACAACAAAAAGCAAATGGAACAAGAATTGTTTTCCTCTTCTCTGAAGCNTGCAGGACAGAGCAGGGGACAGCAGCCCCTGGCCCTGGCACAGCATTGCTGCTCTGGGACAGCACGGCTCCAGACAGGGCAGGAACCAAGGCTCTGCTTCCCCAGTGACACCAGCACCTCTGGGCTCCTTCCTTCCCTCTCCAGCTCATCACACCCAGCACTGAACCCTGGCTCTACTGGCAAGCAGAGCTTTATTCCTCCTCCTCCCCCCATCCCAAAACCACCCCAGCCCTTCCCCAGTCCCCCAGGCACCCTTACAACGAGCATTGTGCACAGGCAGACGATCTAATCCCATGTCTGATCTCTCCCCACTGGCCCCGGGCATCCCGAGCTGCTGCCAGCGCTGCCTGGGGCGGCTGCTCCACACAGCCCTGCATGAAAATCCTCCCTTGCAGCTCCTGCTGAAAACCCTGCACTGTTTCCCCCATTTTCCCTTCATTTTCAGGCAAGAGGGTTGAAGCAGTGTGTAAATCCCAGAGCTGCAGGGTCTAGCCCTCCCAGTCTGGCCCTCATTCCTGGGCCAGCTCAGCACCAGCATCCCTGCCATGGATGCTGCAATCCCATGTGGCAGGATCACTGATTTTGGGGCTGTGTTTGCAAACCCTCCAAGATCCTGGGATCCTGCAAACCCTGCAAGATCCTGGGATCTTGAAAACCCTGCAAGATCCTGGGATTCTGGGATCTTGTAAATCCTGCAAAATCCAGGGATCTTGGAAAGCCTGCAAGATCCTGGGATCTTGGGCTGTGTTTGCAAACCCTGCAGGATCCTGGGATCCTGAGATCTTGGAAACCCTGCAAGATCCTGGGATCTTGCAAACCCTGCAAAATCCTGGAATCTTGGGATCTTGCAGTGTTTGCAAACTCCCAGTGCTGGAGGGAGGGCACTGGGAGCATCCAAGGGCTGCAGGGTCCTCCCTTGTGCAGAGCCAGAAGGGGTGGGGTGAGCCCCCCGTTTTCTGGGAGCCTGGCAGCTCCTTCCCTCCCTGCTGGGGCTGGGATGGAGGGGACCCACCCTGGGGACCTCGCACACAGCGTGCCCTTCTGCTCTGCTGCCTCTCCAGAGGCGACGAGGCGTGGCCTGATGGCAAGTGGCATCTGCCATCTGATGCAAAGCACCTTCCATCAGTGCCATCCCTGCCCGGCCACGGGGGCCACACGCCTCATTACCCCTGCGCCGGGCCAGGGGGGCTGCGCTGCCCCCCGAGCATCGGCCTCGCTGCTGCCCCCTCCTCCTCCTCCTCCTCCTCTTCCTCCTCCTTGTCCTCCCCCCTGCACTCTGCCGGCCCAGGTAGGCGCCTCTGCCCGCTGCAGGGACAGGGACAGGGACCTAATGTGGCCAGACAGGGAACAGATGGCAGGAGCCATTAGGCTGAGAACCTCCCAAGTGTCACCTTGAGGAAAAACACTTCAGACAAGTCCCTGAACAAAGGACGGGTGTTCCGAGGGATGGAGGCAAGGGCCGGAGCCACCAAGAGCTGGAGCCACAAGGATTGGAGCCACCAGGGCTGGAGACACCTGGGCTGGAGCCACCAGGGCTGGAGACACCTGGGCTGGAGACACAAGGATTGGAACCATCAAGACACCAGGGTTGGAGCCATGAAGGGCTGGCGCTACCAGGGCTGGTGCCACCAGGGCTGGAAATATCAAGGTTGGAGCCACCAAGAGCTGGAGCCACCAGGGTTGGAGCCATGAAGTGCTGGAGCCACCAGGGTTGCAATCACCAGGGTTGGAACCACCAGAGCTGGAGTCAACAAGGGCTGGAGCCATCAAGGCTGGAACCACCAGGGTTGGAGTCAATAAGGGTTGGAGCCACAAGGACTGGAGCCATCAGGGCTGTAGCCATGAAGGGCTGGCACTACCACAGTTGGAATCACCAGGGTTGGAGCCACCAGAGTTGGAGTCAACAAGGGTTGGAGCCATCAAGACTGGGGCCATCAGGGTTGGAGCAACCAAGAGCTAGAACTACAAGGACTGGAGCCACCAGGGCTGGAGCCACGACGGTTGGAGTCAACAAGGGTTGGAGCCACCAGGGCTGGAGTCAACAAGGGTTGGAGCCACCAGGGCTGGAGCCAGCTCGCTTCCAGCCCCATCCCACCACACTCTCACTTCCCCTTCTGCCCTGGAGCTCTGCTTCGTTTCGGTTCCCCGCTGGCCGCTTCCAAACTGCCCCTCACCATCGCCCCTTCCCCGCCGCCTCCCCGGCCTGTGGCTCCCCCACGGGTTGCCTCACATCCCCCTTCCCTCTCCTTCCCCACCATTTTGGCTCTGGGGCTGCTGATTTTGCTCTGGCTGCCCGTTCCCAGGCGCAGTTTCAGTTCCTCTTCCCCTGGCCCTGGGGTGGGAGGGACATGTCCACCCTGCTGCTGTCCCTCAGTGGGAAGCAGGTCCCTGCACATCTGAGGGGGTCACAAGCAGAGTCCTGCATGGGAGAAGCTCATCCAGAGGCAAATTTTATTCCTTTCTGACCAGCACAGGGATGCTGGACCCTGGGGAAGCTGCCTGTGGGTCCCCAGAGATAGCAGCCATGTAGTAAAATAGCCCCACGTAGTAAAATAGCTCCACGTAGTAAAAAGCCCTGTTACCCCTGAGAATAAATCAGGCCAATATTTAAAAATAAAGGTGCTGGCAGGTGCTTGAGTCCCAGAGAGAGCCTGGAATAAATAAACCTGCAGCCAGTGGCAGGTGGTGGCCAATTCCTTAATCTGCCCTTTTACTAAACATATCCCGTGCGAGCAGCCAGCAACAGGTGGCAGGGGCTGGCCAGCACCCCAATCTGGCTATTTTTAAAAAGAGCTTATCTCACCCTGCTTGGAGGGTTTTTTACATAATCTTTAGCCAGTGAAGGCCACTCCTTGCCCTGTGAGCAGGCAGAGGAGCCCTGGGTTTGCACAAGTGACAGGATAAGGGGAAGGAGCCCTGAGTTGTGCCAGCAGAGGTTGAGATTGGCTGTTTGGGGTAATTTCTTCACTGAAAGAGTTGTCAGGGAAGTGGTGCAATCACCATCACTGGAAGTGTTAAAGGTGTGTGGGTGTGACACTTGGGGACATGGGTTTCTGGTGGGCTTGGACAATCTTAGAGGGTTTCTCCAAACAAAACAATTCCATGATTCTGAGGGGAACGTGGGCTGGCCCTGGAGGGGATGTGCTGCTTCCCAGGAAGGAGAAGAATCCCAGACAGTCCTAGGCGGCTCTGGCTCCTGCCACAGCTACACCAGCCCCCAGGTGTGGTCACTACTCCCCTTCCACCCCAATCCTGGCGACAGTAGTCGATGTCCAGCCATGTTCCAGCTGTGCTGGTCCCTCACAGCCCACCCAGAGCAGCCCCCACAAAGGAGCAGCATTCCTCCAGCTTAGCTTCCCCCTTGTGCTTCTGCTTTTTGCCTCCCCTTGGTGCCTGTCTGCATGAGGAACCCCTAGAGGTGGCTCCTCCTTGCCCAAACAGGCCACAGTGTCCCCTCAGCAGTGCCCCCAGAGGGGTGGCAGTGACCCTTCAGCACTGTCCCCAAACAAGCTGCAGTGACCCCTCAGCACTGCCCCCAAAGAAGTGGCAGTGACCCCTCAGCACTGTCCCCAGAGAGGCAGCAGTGACCCCTCAGCAGTATCCCCAAACAGGCCACAGTGACCCCTCAGCACTGTCCCCTCAGGAGTGTCCCCAAACAGGCCGCAGTGTCCCCTCATCACTGTCCCCTCAGGAGTGTCCCCACACAGGCCGCAGTGTCCCCTCAGCACTGTCCCCTCAGCACTGTCCCCACACAGGCCACAGTTTCCCCTCAGCACTGTCCCCACACAGGCCGCAGTGTCCCCTCAGCACTGTCCCCTCAGCATTGTCCCCACACAGGCCGCAGTGTCACCTGAGCAGCGTCCCCTCACCTGTGGGCTGCTGGTGCCGAATCCCAGGCTGGGCGTGGAGGGGACAGACATCGAGTGTGGCCCCATGGGGGAGCTGATGACGGAGAAGGGGGGGCCCATTCCATTGATGGGCGAGCTCAG